GTGGTGGCCATTGGAGCCGTGTACAGAGGGTGGTGAGGGGTTCTCTATCACTTTGAGAGAGTAGGGTAAATATATTTCAAGTGTGGGCTAGTGAGTCTGGTAGTTGACCATCAACCCAGACTGCAGGCTCTGAGCACCTCTGTTATTGCTAAAAATTCCTTGTTGCTTTGATAATTGGTGCAAATGATGCAACTTCATTTATGTTACCACTTGTAGAAGAGCATTTTCTAGGCCTCTGTGTCTACTTGACTGCTGAGGAATGCAGCATTGGCTGATAAGATAGTTATTTTCTAGTGGAAACACACCTTTCACATCTAATCCAGTTACAGCTGAGCAAAGACCTTTCAAAAGCCTCTGCAGATGGATTGCAGCAGTCCTGCTGTACCGTGTGTTTGTGTGACAGCGAGTGCTTGTGGATGACAGGTATAGAATAAACCACATTCCAGCCTAGGTGGGGGCAGAGATCCCAGTGCTCCCAGGCACGGTGAGGTCTTGTGACATCATCGTCTGGATTTTTCTTTCCCTCATGCCCTTTTTCCTCTCCATTTCTGGTGTTATCCGAGTTTGAAAGAGCAATAATCTCCAATTACCACAGGTTCTGTCTCCAGTCTTTTCATCTTTCATATTGCTTTGCAGCGGAGTATTGCATACCCAGATTTTATTCAACTTTGTGTTGCGCATAGCCGACTTTCACGATCTCCTTAGACTTAAAAGTCTTCCAGAGCAATGCTGCTTGTACTCCTAAATCCAGTAATATCAGAGAGGTAGAGAAGAGGCAGCATCCGTGTCATCAGGATGCAGTAGCATTGCCCCTCATTTTGCTTAGTATATTAGAGATGATGTTATTCTGGGAGACTCGTCCTGCTTCTAGCTGTTTGGATCTTCCATTGAGGTGTGCTTCTTGGCTAAGGCTCTGAGTTTCCACATTTTATTTTAGTATATGTTGTGATTCGCCTTGGTAAATCTGAGAACAGGAGATGGAAAACTGAATGGAGACAAAAATAGTTTTACAACCAGCTGTCCCTATTACCCTTCCATATTCTGCAAACGGACAGAATGAGGGATTATAGCTGGATTGTCTTGTCTCTGTAGCTATTAGGCGAGCCTTGCCATTTTTTATCCCTTCCTCACAACCTGCCATCTCTGGTCTGTCGTGTCCATACCTGTTTATTCCTGGAGTGATGTCTCTAGAGGGGATATTTCTGCATCTCTCCCTGGATGAGAGCTGTACAAGAGACTGGCTTGAAAGCCCTGGCCCATCTAAATTCTTTCTACTTTTTAAATAGTCTCCTCTAAAGCCTTTAGTGATGTCCTTTACAATTATACAATTTTGAAAACACTCCAAGATTGCTTAAAAATGCTGTGGCCCTTAGAAACTTGCTCTTCAGTCATGTTTTCCTGTCTGCCTGTCTCTCTGTGTTGCTTCTTTCTTTATGCTTTTATTATAAGCTCTTTTTGGCAGCCCTTGGCACCATGAAGGCTGATCTGTGACTGAGACTTAAGTGGTAACTTAACACGGGGAAACACAGTTTCCAGCCTGGACCTGGAATGGTTTCCACCTCCTTGCCAGGAGGTGAGGATGCACTGTAGGAACATTGCCTAGGCAGTTTTCATACTCATTTTCTGACTCATTATCATTCTGATAATCAGGAAGGGAGGTGTTACATCCTCAGAGGCCCATCCTTAAGCATTGCAGGCTTAGTCAAAGTAGCAGAGAACAGAGGATGCCCCGAACCTCAAACTGCGAGTCTGAGCTCCTGAATCTGGCAGGAAAAGCGTGCCTTCCCTCCCAGCACCTGCTGCTCCTCAGGTGGCTGCCTGTCTCCTCCCAGCCTAAAAAGGGACAGGCTTCCCCGACGGGAAGTAATTGCATTGGAAACCTCGCCGAACATCTGTGTACAATCAGACCGAACATCCAGGCTAGGCGTAGCGACGGCCCGCGGCCGAGCATCAGCAGTAGCACGGAGCCTTGGAAGGGGCTGCACTCCCGCCGCCGCAGCTCCCCGGAGGGTTGCGTCAGGGGAGCAGCCTCCCGGGGTCTGCGGTTGTGGTGGTGCTGTGTTTTGTAGCTTGCCAGGGACAAGCTGCAGAACAAAACCACAAGGCTTGAGATGTAGCTCAAAACTACAGGGTTTGTAGAGCCAAACCACAAGGCTGAGATTTTCAGTAATTATAAGCCAGGAAAACAGATTTTGGTTCTTTAGCCCTACGCAGGGCTTTGCCTACTTTATAGGTGTAAACATGTGAGCTGCCTGCTGAGACTCCACCTTTCTCCCTAGAATTGTTTTAGGAACTACAGAGGGAAAACATATCAAAAGGAAAGATTACACTCGATAATCTAAGGGGAACTGCACAGAAACGTTACAGGGGAGAACACAGAGAAAATGGAAGTGAGACAGAAGGGACAAACCAGGTCAGTTTTGGGGCTGTGTTGATAGGTGAGGGAAGTGATCAGGGAAATTGTCTGGATGAATGACAGAAGTACTGAAGGGACCAAAGCAGACAGGTTACGTTCTCACCTGTAAATGGGATCCACTGGCATTGAACTCGCTGAGGAGCCCAGGTATGGCCCTACCAGTCTGCACAGCACTGGGAAAATGGGCAACTGTGATATGTGTGATTATCTTTTTGAACAGCTCAAGAAACCACAAAGAATAAAAGTCTCAAGTGTTCGTAATATTTCCTCCCCCCCCCCTTAATATTTCATGTGTGATGTAAAAGCTGTGTAAAAGCTACTTAAATCCCAGAACTTACATAGAATCTCTTATGGAGTGTGAGTCTAAACAAAAGGCGGCTTTTGTCCACTTTAAATAGCTTGCAGACCTTTGATTTGAATTATTTGCAAAATTTAGATGATGCCATATTTAGAGTTGCACATGAAATCATAATTCAACTTACAAATTTATTTTAGTTTCAGGGTCACACACTATTTTTCCAGGGTGTGCCTGCTTAAACCCATGATAAGATGGTTTCACTGAATGAGTAGCTGTTCAAGATTTTTGTTTATCATCTTCATTTCTGTGAGACCTGGAGCATGCTTAATGCAAGTGGGATCGGGGGGGGGGGGTGTTATTACTTAATTTTCTTCCCTTCTTCCCTGGAATTGGAAGACCTCTGCTTTACATGTACCTTTAGGAAATTCCAAAGGTTTCATATTTATCCAATTTTTAATGAATTTTCACAGGGAGGCAAAACTCAGTTGATATACCAAATCCCTCAAATCCCCTGGTCGAATGGATGTTGGATTTTATTAACATTTGTTTTTTCTATTTTTTTTTAATAGTGGGATCACTCAGAGGCTGAAAATGTTGTAATGTAATGGAAAGTGTTACACCACTTTGACACAAGACATTCTTTCTAATTCAACTATGATGAAAGAACATTAAGGTTAATTGTGATTTTTTTCCATTTAGGGTCCTGGGAGCACTTTGTCATTGTTGAAATGCAAACTTAAATGCACAGGATCCTTGCCCTCGTCAGCACAAGTGTATTATGTTTGGGCAGCTTTGAGGGGGAATGTGGGGTCAAAATAGGATAGCGATGGCATTTAGCTATCTCAGGCAGTTGGTTTGGATAATAACGTGCCTCCTCCTCAAGTTTGCTGTCTTAAATGCCTTTTGTAAGGCGAGAGCCATCTACCAAAGTTTCATTCTTCAGGATCTGAAATTCGGCAGCTAAAGCTAACCACGGGATCATTCCACAAAGAAGCCTCTGTAAGGTGTTTAGCACCACAGGGCACGAGAGTTGACAGGCGCCATGCGCAGTACAAGCAGCGTGTGAGATGCAGCAGGCATCGGCTGTGGCAAAATTACCGTCGATAATTACAGGGGTGATCATTACCGGGCAGGGGAGGCTCCTGAGGATTTTGCAGGAGATCATCATTATTTTTGGCAGTGCTTTGAAAGCAACTGCAAAGTCAGTGTTAAGCTACAACCAACCCAAAACTGGTGTAAATAATGACTTCCAAAGCACATGCGTTTTATGTGGAGTGTAACATCTGCCTCTCTTGCTTGTCACGGAGATCACAGGGAAGATGTCTCAGTGCTGTGAGAAGGAGGTATTCAGTCAGATTACCCTGCCAAAGCTGTTGGTTAGCAGATTAAAATTCCTGCCATCCTCCCTGTGCCTTGCTCTGAATTTTTGACCTAAACAGAAGTGAAACGTTAGAACGTAATTGTTCTGTAAGTCCCGTGAACGTGGAGCCTCTGGTTACTTTGAGGGCAGTCTGCACTCTACCCGCTGCGGGGTGTAGCAGGAGCGATGATAGAAAGTAAAGCGGCAGAGAGGCATGAGCTGCTCTCTAGGCAGGTCTGGCTAGCGGGGTTGCAATCGTCAAGGCCAGCGTTCTCTCAGGTTCGCAGGGTGAAGACTTTCATTTAAAACCAATTTACTGGGAAGACATAAAGGACATACTTAGTAGTTTTTTCCCTCGTGCCATGAACATGCATGGCCCTTCACAAGACAAGATGGCGACTTTGTGAGCTTACAGCTTAATTTACATAAAACCTAACAGAAGGGAACAAATCTAGGATAAAGTGGGAAGCATGTAGCTCACACTGAAAGTAGATCTGTACGGTCATTTTTAGCTCTTTGAATGTTCTTAAAAGCATTTGCTATCCAAGGGTACATCCCCTTGTATGCAGGTGGGAGTGATCACAGCATGTGCTGGAATGCTTAAGCCATTAACCAAACAAGCTGAAGTGCCAGTACGAGTGAAGAGACCAAGATGGGGGTTATTCATGCTGAGGCCCAGGCCTCTCTGTCTTCCTCACACTTGTCATCCAGACTAGTTCAAGTGCATCTACACACGCTGCTGTCACCCCTCCAGGATGCATCCTCCCACTAAAACCTTGTGACAGTGAGCAGGGACAGCAGGAACTGCTGCCAGTAACACATTTTAATTTTTTTTTTAAAGAATAATAGCAATCTGCTATCTCTTCTGTATAATTGTGTTTGTTGTTTTATCTATCTTTTTTTTCTTTTTTACTTTTTGTTACCAGAGTGCCTCTGATGGCTTTTGGAAGTCAGTGGCAACCCGCGTCCCAAGAGAACCTCATGAGATACGTATCCTGAATCCCTACTTCATCCAGGAGGCAGCTTTCAGCTTCATCGGACTGCCTTTCAACAACGGCCTGATGGGCAGAGGGGTAGGTATAAAGCGGAGCAAGCAAAACCAGGGGGAAGGACAAGAGGCCAAGCAGCAGAGTAGGCTTACACTGTTCTTATGTTTCCTTTGGGCCTCCACTGTTGGACATTGAAGGGAAGGGACTTTGGCCCTTTTATGGTGGCAGCACTCAAGGCAAGATCCATCTTGTCTGGTACTAGAGCCGCTTTTCTGGAGGCAGCTCTGAGGCTTCCAGCACCAGCTGGGTGATTTCCTGGCACCCACAGCCTGCCAGAAGGGCACTTTTCTGGCTGGGTGGAGGGAGTTCCTTCCCAAAAGGAAGAAGGAACCCTGCTCTTTGCACCCTCAGCACATCTGGAAGCGGAGCAGGTCTCCCTAAAGGTCGTGCTACTGTTTTACAATTAACTATCCTCATAGAGACTGCAGCCTAAAATCACTGATATCGCACATCTCGTCCTGTATCCCAGGCTTATAGTAAAAGAGGGTAAAGGTTTGTTTGATGAGGCCTTTGGTGAGAAATTCTGATCTTACAGTAGAAACTTTTAGATGTAAAAGCTTACAAAAGAAAACAATGCAAAACACGATTTTAGGTCATAGTTATTAACAAAATACCTTCATGATCATTCTAAGTATCTGTCACCCCCAGTGCAACTTTTGGGAGTGTTAGTGTGGAGTACGTGGTGACTTGTTTTTTCTGCATTATCTCTGACTGCAACGCTGTCCTCAGAACCTGTTTATATTTGCTCTACCTAATATATCAACCATTAGAGAAAGTATTACTTGGGTGGGTAAATTATTCATGTACACATGTGATATAGTTGTTGGTAGAGACCACACGGGACTTTTTTGGGCACATTAGCACAGCTGACAAACCTGAAGAGAAGCACTTTTGCTGGACAAGGTCTGCTTGCTCTGCCCCTGGCATTGTCCTTCCATTGTTATGAGGACAGGAGATTTGCCATGTTGCAGCAGGGGTTTGGACTAGACAGAATAGTGCCTCGTTTCCCATGTTCTAATTATATCATGAAGTCTTCAGAAATATTAAAGGCGTTTGTTTTGTGCAGGTCAGATGGGTGGGTGTCTGGAGATAAGAAATTCACTTCTTAAAATGCGGTGTGCAATATGTGCAGATGGATTTGGCCACATGGAATGAGTCTTTCGTGAAATGCATTGCTGCATATGTATGTACAGAAGCTGTCCTGGGGTTCTGGAAGGAAGCACTGAATTTTTGCTCCATCGCTGAAGCTATCTTATCTCAAATATTCCCATCAGCTTGGAAGGAACTTACTTTGCCTCTCTGCGTTCTCCAGAACTTACCCTTAGAACAACGTGGTCTTGATTTGTCTTCCAGAAAATCAGGACTGCTGCCCCAGTGAAGGATAGAAATCATCAGACTTTTGCCTTTATTTTCTCCAGATTTGTTTTTATTTTTAAACACGTTATTTTAATACACAAGATATTACTTAAGCTGAGAGGAGAAGAGAGAATCCGGAAATGAAAATGCTGTGAACTGAAGTTTATGAGGTTTTGATAGGTTGTTTAACACACATCAGATTGGGAAATGACGGCATCTTAATTGAAACCTGATGTTTCACTTCATGAAAGTCCATTTGAGCATTTAAAAATAGTTTATGGAGCTTTAAGTCAAGCAATCTCTGCCCATGACCCCTGCTAGGCTGTGTAAATTGTAGTTCATGCCTTCAGATGGGGCAACAGGGGCTCTGCAGGTGCACCTGTGGGGCTGAGACATTAGTATACCCTGTGCTCTCTGTGCAAGGACACTCTAATGTAGTGATCCTGTCAGAGTTTAAAAATAGGGAGAGGGTATTTCTAGCCTGTGGGTACAAATTTGACTGCAGACATCAACTATGGAGCTGCTGGGACTTCACACTTTAGCGAATGCTGCTGCATCAGCGCAAAGGCTTCAACAGAAGCTACTGCTGCTGGTGTAAAGAGGGAAGAAGAGTTTGAGTAGGATCCTGGTGATACAAATTTGCTACAGACCTTTTTTCACTGAGACTAAATGGGAAGAGTAGAAATCAGAGCCTGTAGACCAAGAATCCAACTCTCATTAAAGATTTGAGAGAGATCCAGCATGATAATGAGGCAGCTAGAGCAAGGAGAATTGCTTCACAAGAGACAGGGTGACCCCGCAGCCGCAGAGCATAGCTGGTTGGGTTCAAGGTCATGCTTTAGAGATGTGAGACAGCCTGGAAAGCTTTACTCTAGAAAGAAGCATAGGAACATGGAAATAGAAAATGCTGAGGTCTAGTAAGCAAAGTGTCCTGAGTTTCTCCCAGGGAACCAGGATGGGGGCAGATTGGTGCCCCCTTGCTGCAGTGTGCTGTGCTATGTTGGGCAGGCTACACACAGGAGGATCAAGGCTGGGAAAGCCTTAGTAATCAAGACCAAGACGAAATCCTCATAAAGAGCGGTAATATTCCACTCTTCTTTGGTTCTGATGCCTAAATAAACTTCAGTGCTTCTCTTGCACACCACATATGGTAACAATGTGCTGCCAATTAACTTTGTAATTTGGGGGCTTTTTCAGCAACGTTGAGGAGAGCTAGTAAAATAGTTTGGGGATGATCTCAAAGCGTTTTTCCCAGGATTCAATAAAGGGTGAATGTAGTAACATCCTCTGCTTTGATAATATAATTTGGGCCAGATGGTTCTGGAGGATAGTAGGGGGGTACAACTCAGATGTGCATTTTGATTGTACTTGCGGCATTAGTAGCCGAAAGTCTGAGCAAGGAGCAAAACTGGTCACCCACAATGAACAGTGACTTCTCTCTGGGACCAGTAAAGCTTTTCAGGAGTTTCCTCAGTCCATTTACTGAAGGCTAAAGAAGAGGGAGAGCTGTTTCCTACTACGTGTGGACTTCTCTCTTCTTGGGATAAGCTGATGATAAAGAAAAACTTTAGTTTAGGATCCTAGCAATATCTGGGGAAAATTAAATGTTAATGCATGAAGATGGTTTAGCATGAAAGAAACAAGCTATTAAAGATCCTCTGATTAAAGAATCCTGTTAAGGGCACAGGCTCGGCTGTCTCACTAGTCACAGGTGTGTGCATGTGATTTATGTTTAGGTGGAAGTTCTGTGTATACAGGTCTTTTGGGCTTGAAACCAGACATCACTGGTATTGCAGCTGGTAATTCAGGCATGCAATAACCTACTTTACACTGCAGGCAGCTTACTGGGGGACAAGCATGAGCATCGGTTCAGAGGTGTCATTGCCTGTTGCATGTACAACACTAGGGATGGCTATTGCCAGGGTGCTTTTTGCTGTGAATAGTCCTACCCACTCTGTAGCGCTCAGAGCCATTGGAGCAGTGGCTTTCTGGCTCCTCTGGGATGCCCAAGCATGGTGTGAGGTGGACAGCAGAACCTTTCACATGGCACAAGTTGTCAGGACTCTGAGGACTCCAGTGCAGACTGTGGTGTTTGTTTCTCTCTGCTGGTGCTGTGCATCCATGGAACTGCTTATGATTTAACTTCTCATGAGATTAAGCTCTGCTGCCCAAAACTGTAAGCCTTTGGTTTGTCCATGTACTGGAAATGGCTGAATCTATAGACCCCTTACTAAAAAGATAAAGCATCCTCCTCTGGACTCCACCCAGCCTCTGCACCAACTTGGTGAAAGAGCAGCCATGTGCAGGAGGTGTTACCAGGCCATGGATTAGCACCTCTGCAGAGTGCTGACAGCCCACATGCACTCGGGGGATTAACCTCTGATGCTGGAGCATTAGCACCTCCTGCCCCAGGGCTTCTCTTTGCTGTTAGGTGGTTCTGCCTGTGGGCAGGCAGCCTTTCTGGAGATGCCGGTGGTGACCCTTTGCTCCTTAGGCAGGTTTTCAGCTCCCCTGGCTGGTCATAATGACACTTTCTCTCATTAATACTGGGTTGCCCTGGTGCCAGCAAGCTTTGTCTCCTGGGCTGTTCTTGCTGGACTGTCACTGTGTGAAGGCCGTGTCTTGGGACCTGTTGGAGCAGAAGAGAGGTGGGGGATGGCAGGAGCAGAGCGGTCTGACACTCCTTCCTTCCAATTGCATGCTTCTCCTTTTTTTACACTCTGATGGCATCTTCTAAGGCAGGAAGATGGAGAGGTAAAGGACCATTGCAGCTGCAGCCAGTTAAATAGAGAGACTTAGTGTCATTGTAAGTGTTGGGTTTGTAAGACAGCACATCTGCTTCATGGGCTGGACTGTTAAATCCATTAGCACTGCAGTGTGATCAGTCCAGGAGCTGCTGGGGAATGGACACTCGGACAAGCCATTATAGGGTAGCAGGTAAATGCATACCGGCTACTTCTTGGTAAATGCCCAACCACGTGCTTCTGCACATGATAAATGCAAAGTAACTGAACAGCGTTTACCCTTCAATGAAAGAGTAGGCCATGAACTCCTGTTTAGCATAGGGTGAAGCATATACGTGGTTACCACAGTGCAGCTAGCATGTAGTAAAGTGATGCACTTGTTTGCCCTCTGCTAAATCGTTAGGTCCTTAAGAAATACTCTCTGCATTGCACAGGAATCTGCTCTATAGCAAATGGTGAATCAAAGCCTGTGCATCAGGTTAGATGTGGTCAGAGATATTTGATTTGGGTTAAGTCGTATGGGAGCTCAGCAGTTAAATGGCAGAACAGAAACCTGCTGAGCAGCTCGTCATGGCTCCAGCAACAGGCCCCTGGTCCTTCCCTTTTGCTCTGCTGCAGACCACCAGTTCAGGAGGCTCTCTCCCACTTACAGCAAGGGATAACTAGGGGAGATGAAGGAAGAGTGTTGGAGATGCTCTGCTTTGTCTTTTGAAGCCCAGTATTGCAGCTGATTCTGTGCATGGATGGAGGTAGCTGTGGGAGCAGCACTGTGGGTTGTAAGCTCCTGTGAGAGGGACCACTCTGCAGAATGCCAGACATTTGTCTGCTCATAGTAAGTGATGCTAAATTGCTTTTTATGCCCTATTTCCAAACTTGCCAGCTAAAGGAAGCAAAGAGTAGGTTTGGGATTGTACCTATGCGAAC